GGGTCACCTTGGCCCCTCTATTGATCTCCATTTCCTGGGAGTGTGTCAACAATGCAGTGATTCCCAACATTTTTTATTCCTTTAACCCCTTTAAAAAAAACTGCTTTCAGGGAGTGTGATGATTCTTAAATTGTTTCTCTTAGATCTGTTTTCCAGGTCAATTGTTTTGATAGCAGATGTGCTACATTTTCTTCTACCTTTTCATTATTTTGACTTCTAATATTTCTTGTTGTGAACTCTTAGTATAACTTGGTATGCCACTTACAATACTCTGCAATTATTTCCTGCTTAAGGCACTATTAAAGATTTTCTAGCACAAACATGTTGGACCATAGTCATGAACCTGCAAGGAGCTCCCCAATCACTAAATGGGAACCACTCATCTACACTAAGAATACCAGTAGGCTCTAGGCCCCTCTGGATCTTTAAGGTTGAGAATTCTGAATCTTTAAGGCCCTTCGTAGTATCTGGAATGTCTAGCTCTGAGTGTTACCGTATCTAGAGTGGTTGCTATAACTTCCAAGGTCTACTCTATGGATTTCTGACCATCTTCGGGCTTTCTCATAGATTCTCTCCCCTTTTGCTGACTCAGGCATCAGAGTCTTGCAGGCTACAGGTATAACCTCTTTAAAATGGTATCATTGTTAGTTTTTTGTGGCTGTTGAGCTAGAGGCACTACAACACAGAATTCTCTCCTGACTCATCAGAGAGTAGGATTTCCCCTCTCTCATTAACATTCAAACAAGATCCAGCCTTTGGTAGGCCTTTTTTGAGTTGTCTATTAATGATGTGATGTTGCTGAGAAACCTTTCACTAAGGTAATAGAAAAAGTTAGAACCTGGAGTTAGGACAGACATGAGTTCAAATGTGGCCATAGTCAAGCTACTTAACCACTCTGAGCCTCTGTTTCTACATCTGTAAGGTGGATAGCAATAGCTATAATATATAACTCATGAGGTCATTGTGAGGATCAAGTGTGATAATCTTTGTAAGATTTCCAAAGCACTTTGTAAAATTAAAGTATTATGGAAATATCAGCAATGTTATACCAAAATGCTGGAAGGAAAAGGGTATTATAGTGTAAAGGAATTTGGATTGTTCATTCCTCTGGACAGAAATTGTGAAGAGGCAGCTAGTGACACAGTGGATAAAGTGTTGGGCTTGGGTTCAGAAAGACTTGAGTTTGAATTCTGCCTCAGATACTTATTAGCTGTGTGATGCTGGGCAAGTCACTTAATCTCTCTCAGCCTTAGTTTCCTCATCTGCAAGAAGCATAATGAGGGCACCTATCTCTCTGAGTTGTGAGAATCAAATGAGATGACACATGCAAAATGCTTTAAGTTATGTAAATGCTATCTATTATATTCATATACAATAAATTATTGTTTTCATAAAATATGAAAGTAATTAATAAATGAAATGTATAAATAATAGTCATTGGAGCATGAGAGAGAGCTTAGCATAATGAGCAGGAAGCAGCCCTCTGACAAGAAATATGGATTCAAGTCCCACTTCTGACACGTTGGCTGTATGACATTAACAAGTTACTGAAAATCTCAGTGCCACACACAGCTTTCTAAGACTATAAATTGCAGCAGAGGTGCTGATCTGTACCTCTAAAGGGAATTACCTTATTAGGAGCTCCCTTGGCCAATGAAATAACAGTTTGACCCTACCCCTTCACTCCATCCTACCCTTCCCCACCCCCGTTGAAATTCACTGTTCTGTCTGTTTTAAGCAAAGCATCAACCCCATCCCCCCAACTACAACAACCCTGTGGAGAAGGTACTGCAAGTATTATTATCCCTATTTTAGAGATGAAGAAACTGAGGCTCAGAGAGGTTATGACTTGCTCATTATCACCCAGATAATGAACATTCAAGCCAGAAGTCAAATCATAATTTTATGGCCATCAAACCCTGTGCTCTTTTTAGCTATATTAGAATGACTGGTTGCCTTTTACATGTGCACAGTAATGTCAGAATATGTAGCAGAATTTGGAAGATTCTGGCTTAGATATACTTGGAAGAACATTGATCTTGAAGTTCCAGTTTAGGCTCTGCCACTTAGTACCAATGATAGGACCTTGGACAAGTCATTACACCTCTCTGAGCCTCAGTTTCCTCTTTCATAATATGGCCATAATAATAATTCCCTGGCTTACAGGTGTGACCATTTCTCTGAGGAGCTTATCTGATGGAGGCTGGGTGGGACTGGAGAAAAGAATCTTAACCTACGTCACAAAGATGTGAGGAAAGTGTTTTGTGAATCTTAAAATTCCGATGCAAATGTGAGCAGTGCTCTACTTTGTGGTTCAGATTTCTATTTTTTCCTTAATAAAATATGCCTTGGAGAATAAAAGTTAAAAGTAAAAAATCAATAACTTCATCTTGTCTGTAACATTCTGTATGCATTTCATCTCTTGCTGCGGAATAATTTCTACATTTTCATTTTCCATCATTTTGACTTTTATGATTTGCACATAGTAGGCATTAAGTAAATATTAGTTGAGTGAATTAGTTTCTTTCCAAACTATCTCACTGTATTCCTGACCTTTCAGAAAAAATGAATCACTCAATATCCTTATGATGTGAATTTGGTCTCTTCATTCCCTATCAGATAAACCTAGCAATGCCTCTTCAGAGAAATCATTATACCTGGGGAATTCCTTTGAAAATTGATAAGAAGGTTCTTATACAAGATGGTTTGGGCCTGTATCAGATCCCACACTTTGTCTTTTTCAGTTCAGGGACTAAGGGTAGATTTGAGATTGTAAATAGGGAAGACACCGCTATAAAGACTTCCTTGGAGATATGCTGCTCTCAGTACAGGAGAGACCAATTAAGTAGCTTCTGAGAATGGTGCCTGCATCTGTGGAGAGGTTACATCTGACTGAAAAAAGAAAAGTGGCAAAGATGTACATATAAGTGATATCACTATGTGTCATCTGGCAACTAATCTGGGCCTGTCATATAGTATTTCCCTAGTTGAAATGGTCCTTTTCTTTTTACTGCAAGTTCCACCTACAAAGTTAAGTCTATGCTCTGCTAGGTAATGGTATTATTGAACTTTGAATCTTAGGGGAAACCTGTAGATTGGGTGAAATCAGCAAGAATCATAGAATGTTAGAACTGCGTAAGGCCTTAGACAAGAATATAGAATATCAGCACAGGGAGAGACCTTGCAGCCTAAGGCTCTCTGTTTTGTAGGATATGAAACTGGAGAACAGAAAAAGGGAAATGGTTTGCCCAAGGTTGACACAGTTCATTATGTGCTTATTTCCAGTGAGACTATATGCATTATGCAATCATGCTAAATGCCAGTGTAAGAAGTTCATATTTTGTCCTAAAGGCAAAAGGGAGCCATTGAAACTTTTTGAGCAGGGAGGGACCCAGTCATACTTGTTCCTTGAGTAGATCACTTTGGCAACTTTGTACATTGGAGAGAATCTAGGATCAAAGAGACCAGCTAAGATGTTATTACAATAGTTCCTATGAGAGATGATTAGTCTTGACAGTAATTGTAAGTGGAGAGAAGGGAATGGATACAAGAGGTGTTAAAGAGGTAGAATTGACCAGGCTTGGATTAGAGATCAGGATTGTGGGATAGAGGGGAGAGGAGAGGGAAAAGAGGGAGAGAGAGAGACAGAGAGAGAAACATCAAGGATTATGTGATCTGTGTGGGTGAGGGGATGGAAGTGCTCTAGCTATAAATAAGGAAATCTGAAGGAATGTAGAATGATCAGGGAATAATTCTGATCATGTTTAATTTGAGATGAGAAATCTAGGCAGAAACAGACCAGTGGCAATGCAAGAATGCAGTTCAGGAGAGAAAGGCATTGACTTTATAGATATAATTATTGTACACGTAAGAGATGATGAGATCTCGAAGAGAATGAAAAGAACAGAGCCCAGGACAAAGCCTTGAGTGCCGCCATGGGATAAAAGGTGGATGCTGGACAAACAGAAGAGAAAAGGTGAACTAGGAAAGGAAAATGGCATGGAAACCAAGGGAGGAGAGAACATCCAGAAGGAGAAGGAGGTCAGTATTGTCAACAGTTGCAGAGAAGAATTTAAGGAGATTAACTCCAAAAAAGCCTTTGGACTCAGAAGTTGAGATCTCTGGCACCTTAGGAGGCAGCAGTTTCAGGAGAAAGGTAGAGTCAGAAAGTGTGATGTGAAGTCCAAAGGGAGAGTGATTGGAGAGGAACTGTAAGCAACAAGTGTACTCACCTCTTTCTAGGAATTAGAAAGTGAAGGTACAGGAAGTATAAGGGAGAGGTATAGGGTGATCCACTTGAGCTTGATTGGTTGTTATCCTTCATTCTTGAAGAGGACCAGAATGACATCACTCTGTTGGAGTCAAGGTACAGTGTGTCTGACTGTGGTCAATCAGACCAACACAAGCTTGGAAGTCTGTACCGCAGATCAGGCACAAATAGTTCATATGAACATTTGCAGTGGAGATGTCTAAATTTGCCCATCTCGTGTTTCTTTTGAGCTACTTCAATTCAGATTTGTTCGTAATGCAGTGCCTTCTTTGATGCAGGTTCACCATGCTCAGCGGTCCTTTGTTAATGTCTTCCGTGTTACACAATCGATTCCAAAGTTCTTGAGAGTGGCATTGAGAGTATTCTTGTACTACTTCTCTTGACCTCTGTATGAGAACTAGCTTTATGTGAGTTCTCTGTAAAATAGTCTTTTAGGCAAACATACATTTGGCATTGAAACAATGTGGACAGCCCATCGAAGTTGCACTCTCTGCAGTAGAGTTTGAATGCTTGGCATTTTAGCTTGAGAAAGGACCTCAGTGTCCCGTACCTTATCTTGCCAAGTGATCTTCAGAAGCTTCCTAAGACAATTCAAATGGAAGTGATTCAGTTTCTTGGCATGGCTCTGGTACACTGTCCAGGTTTCACAGGCATACAATAATGAGGTCAGCACAATGGCTCTGTAGACCTTCAGTTTGGTAAGCAGTCTAATATCTCTTCTCTCCCACAGTTTTCTTCAGAGCCTCCCAAACACTGAGCTAGCAATGGTAATCGTCTACATGTACATCACTGGAAAGTATACTGCCAAGGTAAGTGAACTTATCCACAGCATTCAATATTTCTCCATGTACTGTGATGGATGGTGTGGTGCTGACTGGTGGAGAACCTGTGTTTTCTTGGTGTTAATTGTGAGACCAAAATTAGCAAAAGCAGCAGAGAATAGAGCCATACTTTGTTGTATTTCAGCCTTAAGACTGCATTGAGTGCGCAATCATGTGCAAACAAAAATGCATGCACCAACTCTTTACTCTCTAGGAGTTGGGAAGTGAAGGTATAAGTATAAGAAGGAGTGGTATAGGGTAATAGCTTGAAGCAATGACTGAATCAAGTAAAAGTTTTTTAAGGATTGGGAAAATCTAGACATGTTTATGTATTCCAGGGAAGGATCCAGTAAAAAGGGAGAGAATGAAGATGCAAAAAAGAGAGGGAAGGATTGATGGGTTAAGTTTCTGAAGGAGATGAGAGGGAATAGGACCAAGTACATAGAGGGTTGGCCCTAAATAAGAGAAAAGGCACCTTTTCCTTAAAAACTAAGGTGAAGGGGAAAAGAATGAATGAAAATGTAAATAGGTTTTGAGATATGAAATGGAGGAGATTTGGGAACTCATGCTAGCCTCAGTTTTCTTAGTAAAATAGGATGTGATCTTTTTTTGTGGGGGGATGAGATAGGGGACTTAAGGAAAGGGTAGAGGTTTGGAATGTCCAATGAGACAAATGTGATAGAGAATCAGGAAAGAATAAAAGGACCACCGCCTAGCCTTGCTGGCCCAGCTGAGATTAAATAACATGAATTTGCAGTAGATCCAGTCAGCACAGTTGTAGGACTTCCTCCAATAGGATGAAAATCAGAGAGAAGACACGTGACCCAGGGTTGAGCAATTTCAAGACATAAGTAATGCTAAGACAATGGAGCAGCAGATTTGGGGTTGGAAGACAATGTGTATGTGGAACAGGTCAACAATAGGGTCTAGACCAGAGCTTCTTAAACTTTTTCCACTCAGGCCCCCCTTTGGGGTTTCAGCAGCATTTCTTGGTGTTACATGGCCTGAGGACATGCATGGTTCAAAGTGTACACTCTTTGTATTCAGAGCCAAGGCTGCAGTGAAATCAATGCAACACAGGGCATGCTCTGCCAGAAACACCTTGGATTCATTACGCGTTTGGTTTTTAATTATTTTTTGGTTGTTGTGTGTTCAGAAATCTTTTACTGTTGCCAAATTTTCCCCACAGTTTAAGAAGTGCTGCTAGACTAGGAAGATGAAGACAGACAAAAGTAAGAAATCTCCTCAGAGGAGAGATTGCCTAAGGAAACCAACAGAGGGGAGACCCTGGAAGAACAATGGATAGGCTCACTTCTTCTCCTGCCTAGGAGTGTAAGGCACGAGAGAAGGAGCAGCCCATGCTTGAAAGGACACCCAGTCAAGTGGTGACTTCTGGAGGCATCCAGACCATCTGTTGACCAGCAGAAGAAGGAAAGAGAGGAGTTTGTTCATAGGAGAACAAGGGTTCTTAGGGGACCCAATGGTATGGGAAGAATAAGATTAGGTCTGTTGAAGCGAGATGAAAGTTTGGAGAGAGAGAGCAAGGGAAAAGGATTTTCCCTTTTTTCAGAAAGCCACTGTGAATCACAAGAATCAAGGATGCTCCCAGGAAGTGAGAGTTTGCCAGTCATTGGCTGGGACTAGGAGAGCTGGTCATCAGTTTCTGCAGTTTGTTATTCAAAACAAGAAGGACCAAAGCATCATGGACTTAGTGATGCAACAGATCCTAAGTGCCAGCAAATCTAACACCTTCATTTTGCAAATGAGAAAACTGAAATCAAGAGAATAGATGAGAGGAGATGGGGAGTGGAGAGGAGAGGAGGAGAGGGAAGAGAAGAAGGTCACACAGGTAGTAAGTGACAGAGGAAGAAAGACTTGAATTCAGATACTCTGATCCCAAACCAGTATTCTCATTGCTGCAGTTCTTCCCATGCTGCCCTCTGAGGATGGGGAGCTGAGGGTTCGTAGGGGTGGGTGAGAGAAAGGTAGTTCTGACCAGTTGCCTGGCTAAGTAAATACCTGGTGATTGGGTCTCCAGGGCCAGATTAAACCTATATTTGTTAACAGCTCCATCCCTCATCCCAAGTGAACATATGTATGTGTACGTGTGTGGGTGTGCATTCTCTGAGATCCTTCAGTGTATTTGGCTCCCTAGGGCTCAGGATCCCTGAGGAATCTGACTTCCCAGGAGGTAGAAGGGATCATTCTTATGACTGTTATGACCATGCCCCCAGAGACTGAGCTGAGCACATACTTGGTCTTCTGCTCTATAACCTTGTTCCAAGATGGCAGAGGATAAAGAATACCCAGAAGATAGCCCAATAAATAGAACAAGTACTCTGCTCCCCACAGTCTTGAGCCTCTGGTAGCACAGACCCTTTGGTACCTTAGGTATACTGCATCTGGAGATGCTTCCTGGCCCCATGCCCATATTTCAGGGTTGTGGTAGGTGTCACTAGGCTATGATTTCTAAGCATACATTGGTGAGTGCCCCACCTGGCTCACTATGGAAGCTCTAACTCTGTTTCACTTTCTTCTTTGGCCATCTTCTCATCAGCAGCCCTGCCACAACGTGTACCATCTATTCCTCTGCCTCTTTCTAGTTCTGGAACCATAATCAAATTATTGCTGCCATTGCTGCCATGTCAGCCCAATCAATCTACTACCACTTCCTATAACTTTCTGAACCAAAATTACCTTCCCTGGCCACCACTCCTTTGTATGAATTTTCTCCCTCTATTAGAGTGTAAGCTCCTCAAAGGCAGGTGCTATCTTTGTTTTTGTATTTGTATCTCCAGCACTTACCATAGATTGGGGCACATAATAAGCACTTAAGAAAATGTTTTTGATTCATTTGTTTGTTCATTCATTGATTCATTCATAAATTCTGGGTTTACTTCAAGCCCCCTGTCTCTGAGTATTCCATCTGCAAATCTTTTTATTGATTTCCCTACCTGATTGGTGTGAAGATTTCAAACCCCACAGAGAGAGCCACAGTGGGTGCTCCCACCCCCTAGTGCTAACATATTGTATCATTTGCCAAACAGTCATTGAGCAACATGTTGTTTGGGTCTCAAAATACAGCAGGCATCACCACTTAGGATAATCGTGATAAACAGCGGGTTTTACTACACACTCAGCAACAATTAATAACACACAGTAGGAGCCCTGGGAAGAAGCAGTGAGTGGCTGGGTGGGCTCCACAGACCAGTTTTCCAAAGGAAGAAGAACTCAAGGATTTTGCAAGGGCATCCTGTTGCATCAAGGACATGGAATTGTCTTTCAGTTGTCCATCTCTTTGAGAAGAAAGAAATGCAACAGAGTAACCTCCTTAGGACTTTTGTTTCTCAAGTGACCCAGGACATTTATGAATACCTTTTTGATTGAGCTCTGGAAGCCAGGAAGACACAATTGCTGGCTGTGTGAAATTACTTAACATCTCTGGGCCTCACTTCTTCATCTGTGAAATAAAAGCATGGAACTAAATGGTCTTTAATGTCCCTTCAAGCTCTAAGATAGCTAGATGACATAGCAGATAGAGGACTAGACCTGGAACCAGGAAGGCCTGAATTCAAATATGGACTTAAATACTTATAAGTGGGCACTAATGCTTGTTCCCTTCCCCTAGGATTGGAGGATCCTGAGGTCTTGCTTGTTGCCACCTCAGGCTCTGGGTGGGATCCCTGAGGCAGGAAGGAGCTTCCTCAGCCCAGATTTGGCATACAGCTGCCCCAAGCCCACTGCTTTCCTTAACTATTCAAGAGTCTAGCTTTCACTGTCAAGGCATTTTTAAAATTCAGAGCAATAATTTTTTATTTTTTAATTTTCTTTTCAAAAGAAATTGCATTTTAGTGGGTGCAGCCTACCTTTTACCCAATATGGTATTTGCTGACAAGGAACCATGAGCAGAAATGTAGCATTCCTGACCTTTGTTCTGCAGGAAATGTGTGGTAGGGGGGAAGGACACTGAATGGGGGGTCAGAAGGACTCCTCCCTGCAGCAACCAAAGACCCCGCCACCAGGTCTCCAGCTCCCTTTTGCCAGCTAGCCTCCTGCACCACCCTCTTACCAGTAGGCCACCTGGTCTTCTATTTGCTCAAAGACTGAAATTCAGCACCACCTTTCCAGCTCAAGAGATAATAATTAAATCAACATCAGAGCTAGGGCCTGGGCCAGGCCAGAGGTTTTCTAGCGGAGGGGAATAAGCGTATCTTAACAGCTAGGGAAGGTCCAGACAACAGACCTCCAACATTCAGCCCTCCATGCCATTCCTTTGCTACCAGGCCTCCTGATCTGGCCTTGGTGACTCCTCCCTTTCTTCCCTGCCAATAAAATCAACCTCATAGTTAGGGCCTGAGGCACAGCTACCCTTTTACTGGGGAAAGGTGTGACAACTTACTTTCCCATGGCCCACAGACTCTCTTCTTTCCTCCTGATCTGGAGTCAAAGGCTGCTTAAGTAAAAACTTCATTTGCTGCCTTTCCTCACTCCCTCAGTCTCACCTCTCCTGTATCACTATCCCAGGCTGCACTTTCCTTCCATTGTGCCCTTTGAAACCCTATTCTCTTGTTAACAAAGTGTGCTTCAAATTAGACCTCTTCCTTTCACACGCCCTCTGTCTCCTTGAAAGCATGGATGAACCTCTCCTCCCAACCCTAAGGGGAGAAAAAGAGCAAAACACTGTAGCTCTTCAGCTAGGAATACACCACTTCTGAGATGACCTCTCCACTATCATCCTGTGCAGGCAGGTACACACACACACACACACACACACACACACACACACACATATGCGCACACACACATGCAAACACACACACACCTTGCTCCTTCAAGACAGGGACGGTTTCGGGTTTTTTTTGTCTTGTATGCCCAGCACCTATCACATAGTCAGTGCTTAATAAATGCTTATCGATTGACTGATTGGGTCCACAAAGAAGACTTTTGTTGTTGTTCAGTCATGTCTGACTTTTCATGACCCCTTTTGGGGTTTTCTTGGCAAAGATATTGGAGTGGTTTGTCATTTCCTTCTCCAGCTCATTTGACAGATGAGAAAACTAAGGCAAACAGGGTTAAGTGACTTGCCCAGGGTCACACAGCTAGTAAGTGTTTGAAACCAGATTTGAACTCCGGAAGATGGGTCTTAGTGACCCCAGGCCTAGCATTCTATGTACTGCATCACCTAGCTGCCCATAAAGAGGAATAGCCTCTTTTCCCTTTTTTTTCCTAATCATCTTTAGAGAAAAAGGAAAATAGCCTATATGTTCTAAAACATTTATAGCAGCTCTCTTTGTGATGGCAAAGAAGCAAAAATTGCAGGGATGCTCACCAATTGCAGAATGGCTGAACAAATTGTAATATCTGATTGTGATGGAAGACTATTGTGCTATAAGAAATGATGAGCTCACTGATCCTAAAAAAACATGGAAAGACTTGCATGAAATAACAAAGAATCAAGAATGAAATGAGCAGAACCAAGAGAATATTGTATACAGTAACAGCAATATTGTTTTAAGAATGACTTTGGGCTCAGATTCTTACAATCTAGCCACTGCTCAGATTCCTTAAGAGTCTGCCCAACATGACAATGTTCTGATGAACCTTGTCTTTGGCTGAAAAAAAAAAAAGAATGACTTGGAGTGAATAAGTCATTTTGACTATTATGAATACCCAAATTAACTATAAAGGACATGTGAAGAAAGATACCTGCATCCAGAGAAACAACTGATAAATAGAAATATGTATGGCATAATTTTTCACATATATGTATATATGTATATACATATCTGTGTCAATGGTAGCCTTGAGGGGAAGAAAAAAGAAATTTACATGATAACTTTATTGTATATTTAAAAGGAACAGCAAATTGTATATAATAGATTTGCAGTTTTGTGTGCAATCATCTTTTTTATTATACTATGTTATGGAAATGCTTGTTCTATTCCATAAATTAAAAATAAAATAAAAAAGAAGACTAGGCACTCTTCATGTTCGTTCCACCCAGACATATCATTCTATTCACATCTTGGTTTCTCTTATATACCTGCTTCTCACCCTTCTCAAAGAGGTTCTTTACCTGGCTCTTCCACTTGACCTAATCCATGCTCTTCTCCTTGTTCCCTCAAACACTCCCACTTCCCATCCTCCTCCTCCTCCACTGCTATACACTCTACCTCAGCCACACACAGGGACGGGCATCTCCCAGATTTCATCATCAACCACCATTGTTCTGCCTTCTGCTTTTGGCACATCCCTCACCAGGCACTCTGTAGGCATGCATTCCCAGGACGTGTTCCCAGGACGTGTTCCCAAGACATAGCACTCCAGTCATCACCTCTATGATTTTCCACAGGTTGTTCTCTGTACCGAGAGAGTATGCATTCCCTCTCCCTTCCACTTTACAGAATCCATAGTTTCCTTCAAGGCTTAACTCAAGTGTCACCTCCCAGGAAGGAGGCCTGTCTCAATTCACCTGGTTGGTAGGCCCCTCCTCCAATTACTTTGTTTATATTTTGTGTTTACTTATGTGACTTCAAGTTATTCTCCTCTACTCCTTCCTCTAACAGAATGAAAGCTCCCCAAGGTCAAGGATTATTTTTCTTTTGTCTTTGTATCTCCAACACCTAGCACAAAGAAAGCATTTGATAAGTGTTTGAATGAATGAATGAATGAATGAATGAATGAATGAAATAACCTCTTTGCATTTTTCCCTGTTCTTCAACCATCCTAAATCTGCTCTTCCTCTTCACCCTGACCTCCAGTTGTTGTCTTACCTACTAACTTTCCTAGA